AGAGACTTTTCGGCCCTATTTATTTTATCGATTTGAGTTTAAAATTTGAGTTTTATTACAGTAAAAAGCTCTCAGAAACAATCACATCTAACTTTTTTACTACAGTAAAAAGCTCTCATATAAAATCACATCTCAACTCAAATTAAAAATTTGAATCAGCGAACAAAACAGGCTATTCAAGTGCGTCTCTGATCATATGGACAGATTATATGACTATCAGTCTTCATTAGAGGCTGAAACTCTAGTTGTTATTCAAGGAGTTTAGTTGGCAATTAGCAAAGTCTCATTTAGTTCGCGGATTCGAGTTGAGATGCAATTTTATGTGAACATTTTTAACTGTAGCAGAAAAAATTAGATGTGACTTTTTATGAAAGCTTTTAATTGTATCAAAACTAAAATTAAGAACTCAAATTGATGAAATGAACAAGACCTAAAGGATTACAGAGAGTTTGTTTGGAAGGTCATTGTAAATAGCTCGAGATTGGGTGATTTTGTCTTCATTCTTGAAGATTAAGGGGTTGTTCTTTTGTCCAAAAAACTCAAAAAAAGACAACTCGAGTTCTAACTTTATTCAAGTTCATGTTCTTTTAAGTTTCAACTTTATTCAACTTTATTCAAGTTACAACTTCAACTCAAGTTATAACTCAAAAACTACACTCAAGTTACACTCTAAAAGAACATGCCCTAAATCTTTAGGGGATGTTTGGTTGGAGTATTTAAACCATGATTTGAATCATGATTCATGGTTCGCTACAGTGTTTTCTCTTACAAAAAATACACGTAAATTAAAAATAATTCTAATCACATGATTCTAATCCATAAACTAAACGTCTTCTTAAATTGATTGGGTAATTATTTTGAAGCTCATGTGGACAAATTGTACACCAAATGAGAAGAGAAGCATTGTTGATGAGCCGCCGAACCAACGGTTTGTGCACCACAGCCCATCACCCATCTCCGCCAATGCGGAACTACGATCATCATCATATGCATTGCACCACTGGGAGTAAGATCATAAAAGAGTGGAGAAGTCGAAAGGGCGACACACCTAGAACGCTATCCAAAACAGCTACCACCAACACTTCAATCTGTCTCAAAATCTGTACTTTTGACTCACAATAGAAAATTTCATATCCAATACCATCTCAGTCTTATCACTGTGAGTCCGCAGACGTTTGGTTGGATGATTCAAACCATGTGATTCGAACTATTTTCGATTTACGTGAATTTTTTGTGAGAAAAAATATTGTAGCGAATCACGAATCATGATTCGAATCAGGAAACGAATCCCTCTACCAAACATAGCAGAAAGATCCATAATGAAGCAACGTCCAAAGATAGCGCCAGAGCGCCAAAATACTATTTTTTTCCTTCTAATTTTTTTCTTTCTTTTTCTTTTTTTTTTTTTTTCTTTTCCCTTTTTTTTTTTTTTTTTTTTTTTTTTTTTTCTAGAGCCGGCTTGTGTACATCACGAGTGATGTCATTTCAATAACGCCATTAAGTAGACATAATACACATGTGGTATCATTAACTTGATAATATTTATTTACGAAAATACGAGTAATGAAAGAAATCTGAAGTGGGGTGATTATCAATCATTGTTTTTTTAACGATGATTGATTTTTTTTAAAAGGCGCTTGAAATTTATTTTAAAATAATTTTATTTTTTTGTGTAAAAATAAAAATGAAAATATTTTTAATCTCAGACAGAAATTATTTTTAAAAATGTGTTTGATAGTTTTATTAAGAAATTATTTTCAGTATAAAAAAACTGATTAATGTCTCTTTCTCTCTCTCAGTTTACATTAAATTAAAAAATTATTTTTATTTCAATTTTTTGTTTTTATTGCGTCAAACATCATTTTCAAAACGTTTTTATTTTTTAAAAAAAATATAAAAAATAAAAATAGGATTAATTCTAAAATCATTATTGCTTCATCACTATTATTTCTAGTGCAAGTTATACTCGGAATAAATTATCAAACGTCCTTAAAATCATCATTGCTTCATCACTATTATAAACCGAAAACTTTCCTTCAAAACTAATCCCTGCTTTTTTGTTAAAAAACAATGATTGATAATTCATCCTCAGTAACTAACAATTTTATTTTGTCCACACTCTCATTCTAATGTTAAGTTTTTTTTTTTTTTTTTTTTTTTTTTGAAATCAATTCTAATGTTTAGTTTGAAACATTCATTTTATTGCCTGCAGTTATGACTCTTCACCCTTTATATTATTATTATTATTTTCAAATGGAGCTTCACACATTTTCTCAGAAAACAAAACAAAAAAGCTAACCGTGATTAATTTTCTCCAAAAGTTTTTATTCGTTTTCAGAAAAAAAGAGTATCAATTTGTATATATTATCGAATATGGTAGCTAGATTAGTTAAAATATCCTAGCAATGCCAAATATATATATATATATATTAACATTAAAATAGAAAAAATTCGCCTTTTGCGCATAATACCCTTTCAACATTTTCTTAATCCCAATGACGACGAAGAAAAAAAATATTAAAAAAATAAAAAGAGACACTTTATTATTATTATTATATTTAAATATTCCCCTCCAACGACAACCCAAGGAACTTTCCCGCTGCATAAGACCTGAAAAAAATGGGTCTTCGTGGCTGCTGCGTTCCTTCAACGGTAGCAGCAGTACCACTACCAGTGCCCACACAGATTGTCGTTTACCGCGCGTGGCGCACACCTGAAATGACCGAAACAACCCTACGAAAACTTCACTACAGTAGTACCTGCCCGGTGGCGGGTGCTCGCGTAAAATCCAAACTGTACGGAATAAAATTTTTGAAAAAAAAATGAAGAAAGAGAAAGGGACGCGGTGCAATCGCGGGATCAGAAAAACCCCTCCGCCACTCACCTATCGCCACGTAACATAGCAAATAATTAAAAGACTATTACACTATTAGCTCCCGGAGAAGATCTTGTTGAAATTTATCCCGAAGAAGACCTTGTTGAAATTTATGCAGAAATTGTTCTTATTTTTATTTTTTACATTTTTTAAGAAAAAAAAAATAAAAATAATTTTTAAAATGGTGTTTGATACAATTAAAAATAAAAAATAGTAATGAAAATAATTTTTTTGGTTTAATGTAAAATAAAAGAGAAATAAAAAATAATTTCAATCATTTTTTTTATTTTTTATTTTCGTTTTTTCCTCTCTCGAGCGGAGAGAGAAACATTAATGAGTTTTTTATATTACAAATAATTTCTTGATAAAACTACTAAACTCATTTTCAAAAATGATTTATATTTGACATTGAAAACGTTTTCGTTTTCATTTCCATATCCATACAAAAAAGCAAAATCATTTTGGAACGAGTTCGAAACGCACTCTTAACGTATAGACCTCGTTCAGTTATTCAATTTTGAATTTTTAATCCGAGTTAAGATGTGATTTTTTGTGAGAGTTTTTTTACTGTAATGAAAAAAAAATTAAATGTGACTTTTTATGATAGCATTTTATTATAACAAACTAAAATTAAAAACTCGAATTGGAGAACGAAGGCATAATCTTTTTTTTTTTGTCTCAAGTGAATTTTGTTTTGCTAGTTAAAAAAAATTTAGTGGTGCACTTTATATCCCCTAATTTCTTGGCTATAACAACAATCTCATATACTATTGAGTATGTGTAAAAGGCATGAATTAGTCTCCTACCGACTATCCACTAAGTTTTTACTCCCCCCACTTATAGTGTTACGCACAAGGACTCATTTAATTTCCCTAAAGGGACTGAGCAACCTTTGTTGGAGAGTTTCAATAAACATTTAAATTTTTGAGAGAAAACCTACTGCAATAAAAAGATTTGAAACCGCAGTTCAAACTCGCAAAATAATTACGCCTCTAGTTTTCATTTTTCAATGAGTTTTTAAAAATAGTGAAGAAAACATTTTATTATTTATACACAAATTTCAATTTATCACCAGATGAGCACATGATTAACTGTGTTAAACTTTATACATTTTTCACAGTTTTAATTCTACTATAATGTTTTTCTCCTATAAAAAATTTAAATTTCAAAAATTATAATCAAAAACCCTGATTCAGACATTATTTTGAACTATATACCAAACGAACCCTAAAAACTTATCGAGTAGTTTATTAAAATTAAAAGTTCAAGTTAAAAGTGTCACAATGCTTGAAATTAAAAAAAAAAAGAAACAAGTTAAAAGAAAAACATGATTTTCTCTAGTAAGATATTTCTACTTGTAAGGTTAATTTTTAAGTGTTAAATATAGTTAAAATCATATTAAATGAAAAAATAAGTAGAAAAGACGATTTTTAATACAAATCAAAATTGAAAGAAAAAGATTGGGAGTAGTTTATTTTTCCTAGTTCTACTATAAAAACTTCTAAAAGAATCCAAAAATATATGGGGTTATTCTTTTGTATTTTTAAGTTAGGGTGATTTGAGTGATGATATTGAGTTAAATTTAAGTCATAACTTGAGTTGAAGTTGTAATTTGAGTTTGTGTTTGAATGCGCACATTTGAGTTATGGTTTGAATTAAGAATCTTTTTGAGTTTGTGTTTGGGTGGGTCAAAACTTAAATTTGTATTTAGATAGTATTTTAATAAAAATACAATAGTGATGAAAAATTTTAATAGGGTATGTGGGCGAGGTTTTATTCGTATTTTCGTTGTGAATACATAGAAAAAAAATCATCTCAATTAGAATTAAAACGAAAAAGTTATAACATTTTTAAGAATAAAAAAATACTGTTCATTAACTTGAGTTTGAGTTTATGAACTCGAGTTGAACTCTAAACTCAAGTTTAAACTCAAATTTTATAAAAAAAATATGAATTTAAATAAAATTATAACTCGAATTTAAATATTTTATGAGTTTCGTGTAAAAGAACAACCCTTATGTATGTATGTATGTATGTATTTACTTTGTATCGTGTACCATGTATTATGTATGTATGTGTGTATGTATCATGTATATGATGTAAGAGTGTAGAGTGAGTGAGAGAGGGAGAGAGAGAGAGAGAGAGAAAACAGTAGCAGAATCTGAGTGAGAAAGAACAAAAAAAACCGTCTCTCTTCGCCATTTTCAGAGACGATGTGAAGAGAGCAAGCACTGGTCCACGCCTCGATCCGAAGAAAGAAGAACCTCTCTTCGGTCTCCTTCAAAGTCACTGCACAAACCAACAAATTACTTTAGAAAAAACAAACGAAAAAAAAAAAACGTAAAAATTCCACGAAACAGCAAAAGAGTCATATTTTCTTTTCTTTTCTTTTCCTTTATTTAATATTATAAATTCTTAGCTTTGGTTGCTTCATTGATTGTCATTTCTTTACAATTTTTTTCTTTGTTTGTGTTTGATTTTTTTCGTTTTCTCCGTAGTGACACATAATCTTTTGATTTTTAGGGTCTTGATTATCAGAGAGAAAGGGGAATAAATATATATAAAAAAAAGATTTCTTCTTCTTGCGAGGAAAATCAATGGCTGTGGTTGAGAATGCTGGGGCGGAATTGGGGAGGAACACAGTGGGCTCGGCCGCACCGAATCGCACCCCGGAGGTGGCTCCACCGTCTGCGCAGGAGCAATCTAACGGTGGTGGTGGTGGTGGTCCGAGTCCGACCAACGATCAGGATCAGCCCAAGCAAGTACGACACCGTATTGATCCTCCGAGTCCGACCTTGAACAACAACAATGCTCCGATTCTCAGACCACACGATCAAAGCCTCTACCAGAAGACGACGGCGGCTGCTGCGGCGGCGCAGCTCGGGTTCGATCATGCTGCGAAGATCGGGGCCCAGAATATCCCGGTGGGACCGGCGGTGCAGCGATCCAACGGCGGGGATTTGCAGATGAACGGAGATCATCATCATCATCATAATCATCAATATCACCACCATCACCATGACCAGGAGAGCTTCAACCGGGACATGAGGGAGCTGAGGGAGCTCTTCTCGAAGCTCAACCCCATGGCCGAGGAGTTCGTGCCTCCTTCGCTTTCCAACAACAACGGCTACGGGTTAAACGCTGCGTTTAGCAACAACTTCGCGCTTTTGCAGAACAACAATGGGAACAGAAATGGAAACATTAACGGCTTCGCTGCTCGGAGGGTACTACTAATGCTTTCTTTTATTCTCCGAATTAATTTGAAAGTTGAGAACTTGATGTTTTGATGTTGTTTGGGTTTTGTTGTATAATTAGGGGACAGAAATGTAGTATTGTCGGACTATGTTTGACTTAGAGGTTATGTTACAGTTATATTTAGTTTGTTCAGGTTTTGAAGATGTTTGGTGAAGAAAAAGGGAAAAAGGGAAAAAGGTTTAGGATTTGAGGGTGTTGTTAATTTAAGTGTTTTTGTTAATGTTGATCGGATTGAAAGATTTTGTTGGTGGGTATTTTCTCAGAGGAACAACCAAGGGAAGCGCCGGATGAATAGCCGGACAAGCATGGCTCAGAGAGAGGATAGAATTCGAAAGACTGTCTATGTTTCTGACATTGATCAACAGGTATGTCAGCTCGCAACTCGCGGCTTATTCCCGAGTTTCTATTGTCTCTACATTGCGTGTCATGTATGGTTAAGACTAATGAAGTGGGGTTTTGGGACACAGGTCACTGAAGAACAGCTTGCGGCTCTTTTTGTTACTTGCGGACAGGTAATGGCACTAATCTCAACTGATCTGAACCGATTGAAAATGTTTGTTTATGCAGTTACGCTTGTTCTTTCCCTTTTGCTTGTCTGTTTAGTGCTTGAAAAATGTTGACTTGTCTTCAAATTGCTGGTTTGAAGAGAGGGCAGAGGGCGATTAAGATTTTTCGAATAGTTTCCTTTACCCTTACTTGCTTTTATTTCACTGGTGAAGGTTGTTGACTGCCGAATTTGTGGCGATCCTAATTCAGTACTTCGTTTTGCCTTTATTGAGTTCACTGACGAAGGTAATATTTACTAACCTCATTACCGGTCCATGATTCTGAAAAGGTCTTTGTGTTGAGTGTGAATATTAGGACCTTTTGATTGATTGCATTGTTGGTGTCTGGTTATGCAGAAGGTGCAAGGGCTGCTTTGAGTCTGGCAGGGACAATGCTCGGATTTTACCCTGTTAGGGTGTTGCCCTCTAAGACAGCTATTGCACCAGTTAACCCGACGTTCTTGCCAAGGGTATAAAGTCTTTTTGTCCTGATTGTTGCACTTTTAATAACTCTGCATTGTTATAATGCTTTGGAGGTTAATAACAACCTTTAAATTGTTCTCATATCCAGAATGATGATGAGCGTGAGATGTGTGCAAGAACTATATACTGTACAAACATTGACAAAAAGGTGATTTATTCTTGAATATTCTATGATTGAACGTGGCTCAGACTTTTTTCTGTGAAACTTTTTAAAATTTTTTTTTTTTTTTTTTTTTTTTTTTTTTTTTTTTTTGTAGGTTACTCAAGCTGATGTTAAACTCTTTTTTGAATCAGTCTGTGGAGAGGTTTGTGCTTTTTCCAAAGCTTTGAATCTCGTTTTTCATACATTTAAAATTTTGACTGACGTTTTTTAGGACTATATTTACAAGAACCTATGCTATTTCAGGTTTATCGTCTGCGGCTACTGGGGGACTTTCACCATTCTACTCGCATTGCGTTTGTTGAGTTTGTAATGGTATTTACCATTTCGCTTTATCCCTGCTTGTCATCTTGTGTCTTTGTTTTGTTATATGCTTTCTTTTTCTAGCTTTCTAGTTATCATAACTGGTACAATCAGGGTAGGTCTATTTTGGTACTTCAGGATTTTTTACAGGACTGCATCGGCTGTTGGATAATTGTTTTGATACCTGAGAACTGGAAGATTGACAAATAGGGTGATGTTCTTACGTCTTTGTTCGGATATTTTTACAAGTAGAAATTCAGACATAAGTAGTATTTTGCAGGAATCTGTTTGAAGTTATTATTGTCCAGATTGAGGCTCCGTCCTTTGTCACAATGAAAGAAAGTTGCTTCCGGAATCTATATAGGATATAGCAAGAAAAATTACTTTCTAGTGGCGAGGCCTCCATTTCTCTTGTTGTCTGAGAAAATTTCTAAGCCTTCTGTCATTTCGTAGTATCATTTTGCCATACACGAAATACTCAGCCTAATAAAATCTCCGAGCTGAATCAGATAAGAGGGAAGCAATCATTTTCTCCATAATTCGGGTTACTCTGCCTTAACAGAATCACGCATGAGGACATGATCTTACTACATTTACATGCCCTTACGAATATGATCCCGCATATAAAACTCTTTCTTAACTTATTGTGTAGTCATTAGCACATGTGTGTGTGTGGTGGGTGGGATGGGGTTATCATGCAAATCATGGTTAAGGGGAAGTGAAGCTTTCCTCTTCTTCTCAACGATTAAAGCCATTAAGTCCTTCAAGTCCATTTGCTTATGATTCTTTTGCATGTCTAAAGTTGAATAGAGATTTTAGTATTTGAACTATATAAAGCTTAATCTCACTTCAGTAGATATGCTATAAATCTTTGGAGCATGATGTGCTATGTGCCTAGGTCGTGGTCGTTGATGGAGCATCTTTATTAGCATTGCAATGTTACTTTTAGATCTGCTCGTGTTTTTGAGTTGATTTCCAAGGGGCGCTTTAAGGGGATTGCCTTTTAACGGTTGTTCTATAAAATGCATTCAAGAGAGGCCACGAGGGTATTTGTGAGTTGCCTGGACTTGATTGCTAGGCTGTGGACAGACTATTGTTTAGTTTCACTACGTTCCACCTTTAGGTCTAATAAAAATCCAGCTTTCTTTTGGAGCATTTGTCTTGTTGATTTCCAAAATTAATCAATGTTATAGTTGTGTTTGGTTTTACATTGTTCAAGAATAAATCTTTTAGCTTACCAGAAGTTTAGTTCATACTAATCATGGATTGGGAACATAACTTTCCCTGACATTCCCTCATATAGGATCACGTATTGGTGAATAGAAACTTATATTTGATTTTCTGTTGTGATTCGTTCTCCATCTGCAATGTCTTAGTGTGTTGGGGGATTTCCATCTATAATTCTGTGCTCGTGTGAACTCTGCTGTATCTGTTGCCTTTTGTTTTGGTGGCACGTCTTTCTAATAATTAGTTGTATGGATAGACAGATAGTCTCTAATGATCTTGGTCTTTCAGAACTTTTTGCTGGACAAAGACGATCTTGATTCTTGAGCAAAGTTACAGTAGATTCTATGACCATTTTTCTAACCCCCTTAATTTTTTATTTTCTTGATTACGTTGGAATAGTAGAGCCTAACTTTAGGAACTCTCAGAGGGGTTAGTTGACCATCGTCATTTTGTTGAATTTGGACTCAATAGTTACCACTTTCCAGTAGGAGGAACTTATATGACAATTAGAGTGGATCTGTTATGCTGACTTCTTCCTCATGGTATATGGTTCAATACCAGGGTCACCTTCCTGATGCATAATTCATAATAAGAAGTTTGTGCTTTTCAAAGATTGTGTGGTTCAACGAGTATCCAGTTTCAAACTCTAACAGTCTAACTTGTTGAGTGGGTTTTGGTATTTACTAGGCCATCTTTAGGAAAGGAACAAAAATAAATAGGATGGCAAAAGAATAACAGGCTTGTGTTGTGTTAGTTGGGTGTTCAAGGATTGATGGTTCATCTTATGGCTTCTTGGAAGTGTAGGTATAAAGGAACGGGAGAGGAGTTTATTATAGTATAAAGGAATGATTTGAGATCTTCTCAACGGTGAAGGCTTCTGCTTAATATTGACTAAGAGAGAAAAAAGTTGGGACATTTAGTAGTATTTCATGTTTCATATGAAAGGCAGTGGAAATCTGTATAATGAACTGGAAAGCGTATCATAAGTACTAATTCTATGTCTCTACATTGTGTATGGATTCTATCTGGAATTTCAAATGTGTATACTTCTTTGAGTGATATTTTAAGTATGAGCGCATTTTAGAGTTGGTATTAGGTGTACTAGTGAATATATATGGATATAGATTTTACAGTCTACCAATGAAAACAGAGGACTTCTAAACTTAATTTGATAGGAATAGCCTGTAGTGTCTCTCACGTATTATGCTCTCCGTTCTCGTCGGAACATATTTACCTTAGTATCACTATATCATCAACATTTAGCATTAACATCACCCTTGGGAAATTTCATCTGGATATAATGTGATTTGCAGGCTGAAAGTGCGATCGCTGCTCTCAACTGTAGTGGTGTGGTTTTGGGGTCGTTGCCGATAAGGTCAGATTGCATACTGCTTTCATCTTTTCCCCTTTTCTGCTATCTTATTGTTATTCTTCCTTAAGTTTAGTTAAGCATGAATGTATCTTTCTGGAACGGATTGGTTATATTTGTTCCACCCAAGTTCTAATTAACCTCCCATGTTGTGGATGATCAGGGTAAGCCCGTCGAAGACGCCTGTTCGGCCTCGTGCACCTCGTCTTCCCATGCATTAAATTATCACGAGCTCCCACACCTTTCCAGACTGCTTTTTTTCCCCCCCAGAACAAGTAACAGCACAATACACCCATGTAAAGATGTTTCTGATGTCTCTGGTCAGTCTGTCATGATATATCATATAATATATATATATATATATATATACCTGTCCTCCGCTTCCCTGCTTGGGATCTTTATATTATATCATAGGGGTTATGTTATTCTAGAATTATAGAGTTGGACGGAACATCGAGGCTTTGGAAGATTACGTGTACTTGAATTGGGATTTTTCCCAAGATTAAAACACTTTCAGCAGTTTCTGACATGATTATGCTTAGAATGGTATCTTTTTTTACTTTAATGAAGTGGGTCCTTTCTTTTGTTTGGTTATTGCATGGTTAAATTTAACACAGAGGTTACAGGCTTGTCCATGATAAGTTTACAAGTTTACCCTTGTCCCTTGAATGCGAAGACCTTAGAGATTTTCCTTCCAAACATGGCCCTTTATGTTATTGTTTTCTTCAGCAATTTTGTTATTGTTCATGCTATTTTTGTCTGCACGCAGTCTCTAAGATGGATATGATGTAACAAGGCCGACGTAGTAGTATTGCATAAAGAAACACAAATCAACTAACTCAGATCACCAAACAACAAAGAGAAACCTAGAAGGAACAGGAAAATGTTTCGCATAGTCCCACCTCGTATCTCACATCCCGACTCAACCCGGTCGGGGTGAATGGTACTCTTAACACCAAGGAAAGAAAAAGGGGGAAGGCAAAATTTACAACTTTTCACACGCACACAAATCCTCAGCCATATAAGAAAATGCAGATGCTGCTCATAGGTGCAAAAGGCATCTCAAGGACTGGCCGTCCATTAGCAGCTGAAATGCTTCGTTAATCTTGTCGAAAGGAAGCTCATGCGTTATAAATTTATCCAGCTCCACCACCTGAAAGATTTACCCACATAGCACATAATGAGTTAAAAGTGGAAAGTGCAATTTTATGCAAGAAATAGAACACTGCTGCTTCCCACTCTCCTGACACCATTTTTTTTTAATATAAAACGCACAGAAGCAGAACATACAAAACCCGCTTACATATCGGTTCTTGTGATCAATTTGATAACTTATATTATATATATATATATGAGTGTGTGTGTGTGTGTGTGTATTTTCTTTTCGGAGAGTTTGATGAATAATAGAGATAGCTAGTATGTGGTGTGTAACTGACCCCACGCATGCATTCTTTGGCAAAATGGGGAAGTTGGGTCTTCCCTTTAAAGCCTCCAAAGATTGAGCCAGTTATTCCTCGACCAGCAAAGAACTCCATTGGATGGATTGGAAACATTTTGGGGGATGGATGAATTCCCAATACGACAGTGAATCCCCAGCCCTGCAATTAATTTAAGAAAACATTTCTCTCACAAAGTCCAAATTGGTATTGGTCTTGAGGATTACTCCAAACAAAAAATAAAATAAAAAGCTCTTGAGGATGCATAATATATAGAGAGACAGAAACAACAAATATTATCACTGGAACGACACATGGGATACTTAAGATATGATTAAAAAAAAGATTACGTCATAACATTACAACTTTTTATTCTTGTTTTTATTCAATGATATGATAATTACTATAAAAATATAGGCTTATAATAAGTTGCTTGAATAAAATAATGCACCTCGTGTGTAGACAAGAAGGCCTCCCGGAGAACATCCACATTCCCTACCCATTCAAAGCTGTAGTCCACCCCTCCTTTAGACATCTCTCTAATTTTCTGCGATCATTATCACTAATCCATAATAAGTATTATTAACCCCGCGGTCGTTTGAAAAGTGGATTTCATGTCAGATTTATTCAGAATTCACTCGATTTAACGACATAAGATCGTTACATGTCGTTTTGCGTGAGTCTGCAAACTTTCATCTAATAAAGATTATAATCTTATCTATATTTAAACTGTAAAGGTCCGTATATTCGAAATGTGATGGTGTGAATAATTTTACAAAGTGTAAATTATAAATTTTACCGTCCAAAAGCGTAGTGTTCAAGACTTTTATATTTTACTCTTGAGAAATACCCTTTTAACTAACATAGTTCTTTGACTAAATGATATTAAATTATAAATAAAAAATAAAAAATAAAAATCTAAGACTTATGCACTTTAAAAGATATTTATCTCATTTTTTCATATTTCGATACGAAGTTACTGACCTCATGCAGTGGCTTCTCAAGCTCGGTAGGGTTTATAAAGTCCGTGACCCCCATTGTTCGGCCTAATATGCACATAAAAAGATATTAACCTATAGTGGTTCAATTTTGTATGGTACTAGAAATATAATACTACTTTAGTCTCATTCCGAGGTCCACTACTTTCCTAATTCATTTATAACGCCAAAAGTCTTCGTAACAATCTCATATACAACCTGACTATTTTACTGAAATTGGTGTTGGTCCCTTTTTTTTTTTTTTTTTTTAAAGTATTTTGTCGGCTTGTTATATACCTTTGCTAAATTTACTAGGGTTGATGTCAACGCCTATGATTTTGGACGCTCCTCTGGCTCTTGCACCTTCAGCAACCTGCAGGCCAAAATTTTCAATTTTGCATGCATTAATTATAATAATAATAATTATAAAATAACTTCAACCTCTTAAATATTTAAGATGAAAGCCGCGGCTAAGATTAGTATTAAATTTAATTGAAGTAGATTAAAATATAATATGGTTGATATTGTGAAGGAATCTGTCATGATAAATGGTGTGATTAGTTTAATGGAAATAATCACTTACAGCAAGCCCCACAGAGCCTAGGCCAAAAATTGCCACCTTGGATCCTGATTGGACATTGGCAGTGTTCCATGCAGCTCCCACTCCTACACATAAATTTTCACGTCCAAAAACACATAGAAAAATGTGAGATATTAATCCAATGGTAAGATATGAAAAAGAGGAAGAAAGATAAAAAATAAAAAAAATACATGTATAACTTATGTCATATCACTTTCAATTGTTTGTAAATTAAGGGCTAAAGTTATCTAGATATTTACCAATGTGATAAGGTTGTTTAAGGCTTTGTTTATTTTACTGATTTGAATTTTCAGTTTTAAATTTTTACAGTTAAAAACTCTTAAAAAATATCACATTTAATTTTTTTTACTACAGTAAAAAATTATTAAAAAATATAACATCTTAACTCAAATTAAAAACTTAAATTCACAAAAAAAAGAGACCTAAAAAATGATTAAAAATAATGTTGAGTTCAAACCAACTTAAAATTCCAAAAAGAAATAAATAAATTATGTTGAGTTTCATTACACAATAATAGAGGCCCCACCACGTTATTCATGCCAGCAAATCATATTCACAACTGTCTGGAAAAGTAGCAGCACTGGGGAACAAGATTTTTAGCTAGCTTTAAATTTATTTATTGGGGAAATTTGTAAAAAATAAAAAGTATGACATTAATAAGCCACAAGTTGGAACCGCTAGCAAAAAAGATAGATATATATATATATTATAATAAATAAAAATGATAATTTGGCAGTATCCTATTAATGATAAATTTATATTTAAAAACAATAATTTGCTGTATCCTATTAATAAAATAATTTTATACTACGAATTTTTTTTCCTGAACTACCCGGGCCCTTTTTTTTCCCGTCAAACAAAACAAGTTCAAGGGTTTGTTCTTTGTTTCTAAAAAAAAAAAAAATAATAATAATAATAATAATAATAATAAGTTATGAGGCACGTGGGACGCAAAGATCCCACGGTTCCCAAGAATAATGCAAAAATCAAGCTTGCGTTCTTATCAGTCCAACTCCAATGCATTATTTAATATATATATATATATATATATATTGAAAAGACCTCCATGTCTCCATTATTTCATTCTTTACCCAAATTGGTTAAAAAAGTATCAATCTAAAGTACAACTCAATTTGAGTTGTTTTTGTTTTGTTTTGTTTGCTTTTAAGGAAAGAAAACGCTTATTTGCCCAATTCTTGTCACGTGTATATTAATTAACGGACTAAACAACTAAATCGAGTGGTTTTGTTTCCAAGTGTGAATCATACGACAATTCTTTAAATGGCTGGTAAAATACAGTCTTAAAATGTTTTAAAAAAATTTCCATCCTTCGTTCTTACAAGACATTACATGTAAATTCTAGTATAGGAAGAAGGAGAAAAAAAAAATCATTATTCGACTTAAAAAAACTAAAAATTAAAAGGCATACTTTTCACCCAAACGGATATTATATATTGTTTTAATCAAAGAGGTGAAAAAAGTCATTGTCTTGGAATATCAAACACAAATAATACACAGATTTTTGTTTTGTTTTGATCCAAACAAATTACCTGTGGAAACTCCGCAGCTGAGCAAAGTCATTTTCTTGAGATGAGAATCGTCGGAGTCAATCTTGACGACGCAAGCGGAATCCAGAACGGTGAACTGGCTAAAAGTTGATGTGTTGAGAAAGTGATAGATCGGTTTCCCTTCCTTGTTGGTGAACCTGCTGGTCCCGTCGCCCGCCATCACCGTCTTCATAGGGTTGACCCCAAAATTCGTGCAAATATTAGTCTTCGGGCACTTGCAGCAGTCGCACTCGCCGCATTCCCCGTTGAAAATCGGCACCACTTTGTCTCCTTCCCTCACATCCGTCACCCCTTCTCCGACGCTCTCCACGATCCTGCAAATATGCGCGTACTGGTTTAGAAGTCGATCACTTTTTTTTTTTTTTTTGTTCAAATGACATGATCGAACTGTATATTTTTTGAAAGGAGAAAATCGGTGAATTCGTCTTTTAAATGCATTATTTTAATTTTTTTTGTTCTTTATTCTTGATTAATAGTAATATAGTTCTTTGATTAAAATGTTATTAATAAGTGCATGGGTTGTCTCTTTTTCTCCGTCGAAAGTGATTGACTAATACTGAACAAAATAAAAGGGCTTTTTTGTGAAAGTTGGTGATATTGACGAATTAGATTATGACTTACCCAGATGCTTCATGGCCTAGAATTCGTGGATATGCTCTTTGAGCCACGCTCTTTAATAACGAGGAGACAAATCAAGTTAATTATTAAGTTAGAGATAAAGTTAAACGAGCGGAAGAAATATTCTTATAATATACGTATAAGTATATATGTATATGTACTTACCTCTCCTTTCCAGGCGCTGAGATCAGTATGACAGATAGAGGTGAAGAGGATCTTGATCCGGACCTCCATTTTCTGAGGTGGTTGTACTTGAACATCTTCCAGTACAAAAGGCTCCTCAGGCCCATACACAACAGCAGCTTCACAACCACAGTATAAATTAACATGATCAGTACTAATTAGTGCTACATATATACACACACACGCACATATAGTCATATATATATATATATATACATACATATACATATGTGTGTATATATATAATATTGTGTAAGAGCTGATATCTTCAGCTTCCTTTCTTACCTCTACAAGTGATGACCTTTCCTTTGGTGTCGCTTGGATCGTGCACGCCGTTGGTGAAATGATTGTTCCCGTTTTCCATCTTTCTCTAGCTTCGTATCTAAAATGAAATTTTCTCTCTAAAAGTTTGTATTCGCCTATGAGATGCTTGTTCCATTTATATACGTCATGACGTGGGCTCTGACCTTAAGTTTAACAATTACGATGGCAAAATTGGAATTTGGGGGGATTTTGATATGTACGCAATTTGAGATATGTTTTTTTTTTTTAAAAAAAAAATGGAACGCACGTCATGTGGGGGTAAACGTCATGTGGGTGGGCGGAATAAGAAAGAAAATAACATAATGTGATTAATAAATTATAATATATTTTTTAAAAATAATAAATTATAACATAATTTGATATTTTAAGTTTTAAATATTATTAAAAATTTAAAAATATCTTAAAATTTTTATTTTTCATCTTACTTTTCCTCTTTAAACATCTATTTTTGTAAAAATAGTAAATTATAACATATTTTTTAAAATATTTAGATTATTGTCAAGTCTACCATGATCGGGACCGGCGTGCGGCAACCGGCTCCAGTGATCATCTCTGGCAACCTACGATTGTTTTATTAACGGCCAGTGACTGTTTTTCGACGACCGTTTAATATTATATTTACCGTTAAATACCGTACTTATTAGTAAATACCCTATTTACTCAAAAAGCCAACCGCCGACTTCGGTGCCCATTTAACGCTGTATTTACAAGTAAATACCTTATTTATCAATAAATAATGTATTTATTAGTAAATATCATATTTACCCGAAAATTCAGTCTCCGGCTCCGGTGACCGTTTAACACTGTATTTACTAGTAAATATCATATTTACCAGTAAATTTATAATTACTAGTAAATATCATATTTATCTGAAAATCTGGCCTCCAACTCCAGTGACCATTTAACACTGCATTTACCTATAAATACAGTATTTACGAGTAAATATCATATTTATCTTAAAATTCGGGCACCGATTCCAGTGACCATTTAAAATTGTATTTACTAGTAAATACCATAATTACTAGTAAATATCATGTTTATCCGAAAATCCTGCCACCAACTTTGGCGACCGTTTAACATTGTATTTACTGATAAATATCGTATTTACTAGTAAATATCATATTTATCAAAAAATTTGTCACCCACTATGGCGATCGTTTAACACTGTATTTACTGGTAAATACCATATTTACTAATACATATCATATATATATATATATATCTAAAAATCTGTCACTTACTCAGCCGACCGTTTAATACTGTATTTACAGGTAAATATATATTTATCAATAAATATCATATTTACCTAATAATTCAACCATTGACAACCAAGGACCAGCAACCAGTAAATATGATATTTACCTTATTTACTCAAAAATCTAGAAATCTAGAAATTAGCGGCATCGGAAACCAAATCACAACATAGAATCGACCAAATCTTGGATTATCACAAACTTAGAACAAACCAAAACTAAAAACTAAAAAACATGACAAATCAGATCTAAGAATCACCAAATACCACAATCACACTTATTTTCTGAAAACATTCCATAAATACATTATAAAACCAAGAATGTTTCTTGGTTCCCGTCGTTGCCATGCCAGCCCATAGAAATAACCTACACAAAGCACATAAATCGACAAGCCCAGAGAAAAAAAAAAGACAAAAAATAGAAATCATTGGTCGAGATTTGCTCCATAGAACCGACGCTGGCCGGACTGGTGCGGCGCGAGATCCCTCACTAGGAGGTCACGACTGCCTATTAATGGAATCTTGTTCGCGAGCACCAAGAATGAGGTGACAACCACCACCGTTGCTAGAGTCCGCCGTTGGTGAGAACATCGTCTCCGTCAAATTAGCGTTGTAACGCTGATGGGAGAGACCGACAGACGAAGAGGAGAAAAGCAAGATCTCTGATTTTTTGCCACAGATCGGCGACGACAGCAACAAGGGAAGAGAGAGAACCAGAGAAATCACGATCTCCGATCTTTGGCTACATCAGCGACGAGTTATCCTCGAAGAGAGAGAGAGAGAGACAGAGACAGAGATGTCTGGAGGTAAAATCATGGAGGTGGGAGAGAGGTCGTGGAGGAAGAGATAGATTCAGAGAGAGAGAAGCATATGATGGAAAACCTAAAATGATGGTTATATTTGAAAAACTATAAATCAAAAATCAAATATATTATAATTTATTAAGTTAAAAAATATGCTATTTACTTTAAAACTATATTCAGAAAATGCTATTTAGTGCATTTATTTTATTTAATATGTGTATGCATATATATTGCGACAAAAATAAAAAGAACTCGGGAAGAAAACACGCAAAAAACTCGTTTTAGCATATATATTATGAATTTTGTGAAGCGAAAAACAAGTTTGTGAAATGAAATTGGACAAACCCGCAGCTAGCAGAGCATTAACATCAGCTCTGTACAGTTGCATTGAATTAATGACATAGATAAATGCGGGAAATAATGTGCAATATTATCGTATCTTATTTTATCCGAAAAAAGAAAGAAAAATGAAAAAGAAGAAACGTGTATTACAAATTGCATTAACCTTTTTACTTTTTAGAGTTGTTTGGAAAAAAAAAAAAATAAAGGGCAGTAAATGCAATCCACGAGGAGTTGGTAGGCTAGAGGTTTGGAGTTGAGGCATTCAACGTCCAAAAAAGGCCGAGTCAATTACCTTGTCCCTACGCCAAAAACGAAATAGGTTTTTTTTTTTTCCTAAAAGAAATTAGCTGTTAATAAATTTCTATGATCTGGTTTGGATATTGTTGTTTTAACTGATAGATTAATTTTTTAATGGTTTGATTTTTAAATATAAACCGTCTGGATCGTGTGTTATAATTTTTAATATGCATGTCCTTACTTATAGACCAACTGTTAAAAAATCAGGCAAATAAAACAATAATACTACTATTAGTGAAAAATAACAATCTCTACCATAGAAAATTTCAAATTATTATTGCTAAAAATGTGTAGAGGAGTAGCACTTGTTGTAGCTACCATTAATTAAGCCGTGATAAAAGCGACATCCTTCACACGCGCAAGAGAAATACTCTTATCGACCTATACTTATTTGCTCCAAGTTGAAAGATAAAACACATCGTAAATATACAAGACTCCTATTTATCGAATCATGAAAATAAGTCCAATGCTATAAGAAGGAATTGCCAAGTGGCCAGTTCAATCATGCTCGGATCACGTCTAATTATATGACCAAATCATCATCTCTAATATAAATTTTTATGTTCGGCTATAAATGTAGGCCGTAGCGTGATAATTTGATTATTATACAAAAAAAGAAATATAAACATCACTTTTTTTGTTACTTTTTTGTTACTATCTACATTTATTATTTCATACGTGGATTCTGCAATGTCATCTTTTGTTTAAATAATAATATATTATATTAATAGAGTTCACATGTTGAAAAATAAATGTAGTGGGTGAAAAAAAAAATGACAATATTTCTTTTATACTAAAAAAGAAGATAACATTTATTAAAGGCGGCAAGGGCAATAATGCATGGTTTATTTTATTTTAGTTTTCTTGTCAATTTTGATTTGCTTCTTTCTTGCCTTCAATTACGTATTATGTTGTGTAATAGACTGGTCCTAGCTAGGGTAGTAAAAATCAAAGTAAAAGTCTCATAAGGTTCGTTTGAGGAAAGTGATTTCTATTAATAATTTTTGTATAATAATAGGGATCCAGAATAAAGTTGACGGCTTCAACTTTAGAAACAAGTAAAGCAGGTTGGCTCTTAGCTTGCCCTGGTCTAATAAATTAACTTGTGGCGCTGAAACATATAGTTGAAAGTCGTTTTTCTATTCTCCTGTTTCCTAATTTAATCACAATACGCCTATCTAATCATGGTTTTGAAATATTGACTTTGAAATAGAGAAAAAATATGCATATCTGGATAGATTGAGTAATTAGGCAACTTCCTCTCTGATAAATAATTAAAAAAAATACTTTTTATGTTTTATACTCATTAAATAAAGATTTTAAAAAGAGAGTGTTAAATATCAACTTTACAAGTTCAAAACTCAAAGTTGAGTATACTAAAAATTTAGAGGAAAAAAAAAAGGTTTTCCCTTCAAAAAATAATAAAACGATCTTATTGATACCATAATATAAATGACATGTTCCTATTAAATTATATAAAAGACTCTAAAGCAGTATGTATTGGAAAGATATGAAAAGGACTATTTTATAGGCTTTATTATTTTGGTTCTTTATATTTTAGGATAAGAACAAAAAGATGTCTCGTCTCTTAGATAATATTAAAACGACAATTTGCCGTTTGAGAAAATATCATTTAAGTACTCACTCTCATTTTTCAGAAATAAATAATTAAAAGGACAAAAGGGTCATTTTATCAATAAAAAGGGGTTAAAGGTACTTTAAATGAATTTTCCCAATTTATATAGTACCACTTTGATATTATCTAAACAATTAAGTATTGGTTTGATTTCTAGGTTTGAACCGAAAATTTGAATAGAAATTTAAGCTTTCATAAGAGAAAATACCTTATCAAAAAATTTTAAATTGTGGTTTAAACGTGTTACTTAGTTGAAGAGGAATTCAGGAAACAGAAACCAACAGAACTTGGGAGATCTAATTTCCTGACATAAATAAATGAATCAAACTTTAGAGATTATCCATTGTTTTTAATAAATGAATCACACCGCCGTTCATTATTAGATTGTCTTTTTGCATCATGTACAAACAAAACAGATACATTTAAAATTAATATCAATTTGTTCGATCAGATCACAAACAATTTTCTAATATAATTCAATACCTTTCATGTCAGGGCATATGCTATTATATATGAAAAAAAAAATTATTTGTTATAGTTTTAGCAAAAATAATGACAATAACATTAATAATTTTCAATAGAAAACAAAGTTGACAAGCGCAATACAGAAGCTTGAGCCAATTATGATAATCCAATTGGACAACGGTGTATGTGTATGGTGAAAATAAATAATAATTTTACAAAGTCTTACATGCGATATTAATTATGGTTACAATTCCAAAAGTCAAGAGAAGGATA